ATGATAATCTAGCCCAGGAGAACAAAACAGCAGGTCACATTTAACATGATAATCTAGCCCAGGAGAACAAAACAGCAGGTCACATTTAACATGTTAATCTAGCCCAGGAGAACAAAACAGCAGGTCACATTTAACATGTTAATCTAGCCCAGGAGAACAAAACAGCAGGTCACATTTAACAGGATAATAATTGATCCAATGATAAAAACATCTGATCAAACATAACAATTCATCCAAGGAGAACAAAACAGTCGATCACACATGATATTTTGACCCAGGAAAACAAAAGAGTAGGTCACATTTACATGATACTTTAACCTAGGAGAACAAAATGGGTGGGTTACATTTACATGATGACTAAGAGCTGTCAGTTTCCTGCACAAAATGCATTTAATTCTTAACATTTTGTGTAATGGGGATTTTATTGTAATTTTTCATAAAATGCTATTCATTAATGTATAAATGTTTTGCAACTTTATTCATTTATTTAGTTGGTAGAACCAACCACAGACGAAGAATCTACTCAAAGTGAACCTTTAAATGATAATGAATCCATCCCTTTACCAAAGCGAGTTCGGATATTTGAAGGTGGATTTAAGTCCAATGAAGACTACACATATGTCCGTGGTCGTGGGCGTGGAAAATATGTGTGTGAAGAATGTGGAATACGCTGTAAAAAACCAAGTATGCTGAAAAAACATATTCGCACTCATACAGACCTTCGACCTTTCAGCTGTTCTCATTGCTCGTTTGCTTTTAAAACAAAGGGCAATCTGACCAAGCACATGAAGTCCAAAGCTCACCATAAGAAATGCGTAGAACTAGGTATCATTCCTGTACCCACCACCATAGATGACTCTCAGATTGATGGAGAGGCACTAGCTAAACAGGTTTGTGACATTATTTCTCTGTTACATGTCTTTTATCTTATACTATACATTGCCAGTATGAGTTGTTGGTTTTATACTTCTCTAAAAATGGTATATTTTTGAAGCCATTGGTTGGATTTAATTCAAACTCTGCACTTATATAGAATTATATATTCTGAAGTTACGATATATATATTATTTTAATATTTCTCTGAAAATAATTTACTGATACAACAACAAAGACATGAAAAAATATCTGAAATAATGAGTCAAATGAACTCTAGAAGTTCAAAATAATCAGATAATATTAATTTTTCAAAGGGGCAAAGCACAAGTCTGGGAGAAGTAGTCCTCATTTAAGGAATTATGAGAATTGTTTTGAAATGGTTCCTTGCAATTAAGTTCGTACTTTGGATGATCATCATATATGTAAATCTCAAATGTTGGACAATAAGGGGCAGAAAAACATTATAATTTGCATCTTGGCTTTATTATTATTTTATGTCAACTCAGATTTCTATTTCTATCTTATCTGTACTTAGATTATTGAAAAGTTACTTTTTTTTTAATGGAAGCAAAGTGTTAGAGTTAACGTATTAATTGTAGCATTATAAAAATGCTCTTTCCCATTATGAGAGATGATGTCTCTGCTTTTAGCCGCTGGTTTATTTTTATTAATCTGAATTATGAGTTGGATGGATGGCCACTTTGATATTCCTGCATGATCTGTGGTGTGTTGATGTAATTTTTAAATAATTTCTTATGATTACAGCACATAGCAGTAAAATTGTGTTTTTATTGGACTGAATATTCTGTTCATTAATAACATTTACAGTTAATACATAAACCTCAAACCTGCAATATATTCATACAATAGACTTACAGCATTCATATTCTCAATAACAAACTATTTAGGCAAGACTTTTCAGTCCCAGGAAATTTAACAATAAAAATGACAGTATCTTTCATAATGTTGTGGTCACTCTTTATACTCAGTCTTATAGTACAGCTTATTTCAAATATTTTGTTACTAGCTTTTATGCTACAGTTTATAGCAAATGGTTTTTTTTCTGAATATTGAGCATTATGGTTCAGTATTTTATAGTTATCCTTGTACATGTTGACTTCTATCTAAAATTAATCCAAATTTTATTTTCTTCTTGAAAAATATATAAATTCTTATTGTACAATATGTTAAAAACACACCTTAATGTTCTGAAAGCTGTCCGATGTCTCATCACTTTCTCGTCCACCAACTCTGGCTGGAGATAGTGAATTGTTCAATACATTTTTGAATGCAGAGGGCTGAATCAGGCTGCTGTTTGGTGAAGAAAGTGTAATTATGTTGGTGGCACATGTAGTTGTTAAATAATGCTGTGTTTGAGGAACAACTCCCACAGAGATGGGTTCTAAACTTGTAGTAGTTTGATTCTCCTCCTAGAAGAAAAAGATATTATGATTCTCTAGATAAGAATCCAATATAAAAATAAATATAAATATAAAAATACATC